ATATACTGTATATAAACTATTAATCAGAATTTCGCAAACTAACTCAAGACACAACAACCAAAAAATATGGCCACAACTGAATATATAATAGTACTTGAGTTTTATTATAAAGGTTTTAAGGCGAGTCGATTATAATCATATCATGTGAAGAATTCTTATTAATTTCATCTTGAGAAAAGTCGATTGTGATCACACTGTCGTTCTGAGATAAGTTGATTATGGTCATATCATGTGAAAGATTCTCATTAATATCTTTTGTTTTTCGATTTACAACTAACTGCTTCATAAGATTTGCTTCTTTCAAGAACAGTTGTCTGGCCTCTTTCAACCACAAAAAATTTATCGTCTGTGACTTTAATTTTATTTTCTTTTAATCTTTCATTATACACCACCTTCTCTACACTTTCTCTACGCTTAAAGATAGAAAATTTAATGGGTAGTTTCATTTTTCAATGCCGATATCAAGGTGGTATTTGTTTGTTGTGTAAAGGGTATCAATAAATCAACTAAAAAAAAAACTTGCAGATTTTGTCTAGAGATATGGTCAATTTTATAACAAATTATCATTAAAACTATAAATAAAAATTTTATTCCTTTATAAAAAAATCGTTCTTCAATTATTCTGATTTATGTCTTTGGTTAGTATTTGGTCTTATGTGATTTTATAAAGTTTCATTACTTGAACAATAAAAAAAATCCTGAAAGCGTATAAGCCTAAATACTCTAGTCTATGGCGAAATGTTTTTTGTTTGGTTGAGATTTTTGTTAAAAATGATTTATTTGGATAACGAAAAAACACGATAAGAATAAGTAGACTATCAAAGTTATGAACAATAGTGATTGTGATCTTAAATTTGATAGTGCTTACTTTTTTTATTATATATTTGACTTGGTAAAATATGTCTTATATTCTTAATTGGTTTGATTCAATTATTAACATATCAAAACTGGTTAGCAGCTTAATTTACATATATAGTAAAGTTGTAAGTCCAAATTTAGAAAGTTGAATTAATAAATATCATTATTGAAATGTATGCTTAAATTCAAAAAGAAAATCAAAACAAAAGCACTATTACTCGTTATTTTCTGTCTCCACATGAATAAAGTTAAACATCCATTATACAATTGGCAAGACAAAAGTCAATAGTCTAATTCAGAAAGGTGCCTTAATTAAACATAAATAATTAAAAGATTTTTTTACTATATCGTTTTAGCAATTAAAATTCATAATTGTTTAAATATTTTTATAAGATTATTCGCATTATTATAAATTTATATTCACTATAGAAATTAACAAGACAAAAGATCAACGGTTTAATTCGGAAAAGTGATTTATAATAATTAAGAGATTTCTTTTATATATCATTTTAGCGATTAAAAAAATTGTAATTGTTTGAT